GAAGAAAAATAATGAGATGAAAAGGTATAGCAATCCATCTTTGCATATCAATAACAAAACAGCTAAGAAGGAAAACAATCATCATTTTTTAAATATTTGGAAGATTAATTGCTTTTAGAAACTGGAAAATATTATCTCAAATGGTCATTGCTACTACTACTATGCCCTAATACCCCAAATTATTCCTCATAAAATGAAAAGTTTCTTTCTCAAGTGACAGCTCATGCTGGTGAGAATGTGGAGCAAGGGGAACACTCCTCCATTGCTGGTGGGAGTATAAACTTGTACAACCACTATGGAAATTAAAATGGTAGTTCCTCAGAAAGTTGGGAATCTATCTACTGCAATAACCAGCTATACTACTTTTGGGTATATCCTCAAAGAACACTCCATCCAAACACAAGGACACTTGCTCAGTTATATTCATTGTGGCTTTATTCATAATACCTAGAAAATAGAAACAACCTAGATGTCCCTTAACAGAATGGATATATAAACTCATTTACACAATGGAGTACTACTCAGTGTTAAAATAATGACTTTGTGAAATCTGCAGGCAAATGCATGCAACTAGAAAAATCATCCTGGGGTAACTCAGATCCAGAAAACTAACACAGTATGTATTCACTTATAAGTGGATATTAGTCATTAAGTAAATGATAACCATCTATAATCCACAGACCAAGAGAGGTTAGGTAAAGAAGAGAGGTATAGGAGAGAAGCATGGATCTCCCTGGGAAGGGGAAATAGAACAGATTCTGAGGGTCAGCTGGGAGTGGGTGGGAATGGGAACAGGAGAAATCAGGTGTAGTGAGGGATGGAAGGAGAGGCTACTGGGAGAGATGACTGAAATTGGGGAGCATTTCAGGGTGAATAGATACCTATTACAGTGGAAACTTCCCGGAATCTATGAGGGTGACCCTAGTGAGGATTCCAAGTAATGGGATATGGAGTACTAACTGATCATATTTTATAGCCAGGCAAGGTTTCCAGTGGTGGAAATTGTTACATTTGGTTGAGTTGTTGGCCAGGAGGTCCCAAGAATATCTCTAAACAACCCAGCCTGATGCTAGGACAGAAGGTCACCGTCTGAACATTGACAGTGTGTGTGTGTTTCGGGGAGGTCATTGCTGAGGACAACTTCCACTAAGCTCACAGAATATTGTACTGACTACTCTTATGCAATTTGAAATAAAAACTAAGGGTACCTTAAAGAAGAAAACCTTAATTGAGAAAATGTCACCATGAGATCCAGCTGTAAGGCATTTTCTCAAATAATGATCAATGGGGATGGTCTCAGCCCATGGTGGGTGGTATCATCCCTGGGCTGGTGGTCCTGGGTTCTATAAGAAAGCAGGCTGAGAAAGCCAAGGGAAGCAAGCCAGTAAGAGGTACCCCTCCATGGACTCTGCATGAACTCCTACCTCCAGATTCCTGCCCTGCTTGAGCTTGTGTACTAAATTCCTTCAGTGATAAGCAGTAATGTGAAATTGTAAGCCAAATAAACCCTTTCCTCCCTAATTTGCTTTTTGGTCTTGGTGTTTCATTGCAGCAATAGAAACCCTAATGAACACAAATTCAGAGATGTCGAGCTGGTGGGGGCTTGCAGCCTTCACCCATACATTCTAGTCTCAAGTGTGAAAAGGTACTGTACAGAGTATGGAAGGAGAAACCTGGACATCAACCCACTCACAAAACCCTCCACCTACAATCTGTCCTGCTTGTAAGATGTGCTGGGGCAATGGTGGCACAGAACATGTGGGGGTAGCCAATGTCTGCTATAACTTGAGGCCCATGTCATGAGAGGAACCTCATGCCCTACACCGCCTGGATGGCCAGGAACCGGAAACTGGATAGCCCAGAAAAGGTAGAACCAAACACAACTGAAAAAAGTCAATGAAATGATTCCTAATTATATTCTCCTATACTCATAGATGGGTACCTTGTACAGTCATCCCTCTGAAAACAGAGACCCACAACCAGACATTATGCAGAAAGAGTCTAAATTAGAGATCTCCTTTGGGTCCCTCCCCTTGGACATCAGGAACCCAATGGGGGGGGGACTTTATGAGTCATAGGGAATGGACGACACCAGGAGAACATGGCCCACTGAATCAACTAAGCAGGGCTCAAATGGGTTCACAATCAGAGAACTTGCATGAGTCTGCACTAGGTCCTCTGTGTGTATAAGGTGGGAGTCTCTGACTCTTGACTGCTCTTGGAACTCTCTTCCTCCTACTGGGGTGCCTTGTCCAGTCTCGATAAGAGGACTTTTGCGTAGTCTTTTTGTATCTTGTTTTGTTTTGTCTAGCTATCTTCCATCTCTTGGAGACCTACTCTTCTCTGAAGAGGAAAATGAAGGGGAGTTGCCCTGGGTTAAAGGGGAGGTGGAGGGGTGCTAGAAGTTGAGGGAAGTGAAACTGGTTGGGAGGTATTCTACAAAAGAAGAGTCTGTTTTCAATTTTTTAAAAAGTTAAGAAAAAGAGAAATGTTTTCTATATGCTATTTTCTAGAGGCACTCATCATAATTTCCACCAATCTCTTCCTTTTTCAGATCTACTAGGAACCAAACATCCTCTTAAAAGAGTTTGTCTGTACATTCTTGTTGACTTCTAGTTAATATGCAAGAATTTGGAACAGGGCCAGGCAGTGGTGGCGCACGCCTTTAATCCCAGCACTCGGGAGGAAGAGGCAGGTGGATCTCTGTGAGTTCGAGGCCAGCCTCGTCTACAAGAGCTAGTTCCAGGACAGGAACCAAAAAAAAGCTATGGAGAAACCCTGTCTCAAAAATCAAAAAAAAAAAGAAAAGAAAAGAAAAAAAAGAATTTGGAACAGCAATTTCCATTCTATGAGTTCTATTTTTGAGTGAAGATCCAAATATTAGCATTCTAAAAATATTTTAATCTACAACTATGTTAGTTTAGCTAGATTTCACACCTTGATATTGACCTGTCACCAAGCAACAGAAATCTGTATTTTTGAAGGACTGGTATACACTAAAAATAAATCCTAATGTAAATGTCATTACTGGAGACTCTTCCTTATAGCTAGACTAATTAGTCATGTTCTAACCTGCCCTCTTCAATTCTCAAGAAAGTCCACAAAACCATCTGCCTTTTACTTGTTAACAAGGTACTTGCATTCAGCTAATGAAGAAATAAAGGCCAATTCACTAATTTCGCCTTGCATAAGAGCTTAGAATCAGTTTTGTCCTTAATAATTTGTATGTAAAAGATAATCCACCAACCAACACTGCTAAAATGAACATAAAAGTGAAAAAATTCAACATTATCTAACAAATTAATCGCTAATATAGCCCTCTATTCAGCTTAAACAAATACAGTGAAGTATGGACTCATGATCTGTTACATAATAGCCTGATTTAAGAACACACTTATTTCAGGAATGGGTCAGATTGAGTGTGAGGGTCCTCAACAGAGCTCACAGCTGAGAAAGAAGAACTGAAAATAAAGAGTTAGGTTATGGTTTTACTTTTATCTTTTCAATTACTTACTTTACTGTTTCCTCTGTATAGAACGTAAGTTCTGCCCTCTGTTTGTTTCTTTCGTAATCAACTTAATTTGTAATCTCTCTACTATCATCTCTTTACTTCTCCAACATCTTCCTGCCTCCTGAGCTTGCCCCACAATTTGCAGCACTGAATGTACTGCTCTCTATCTAGTTCTGCTAGCATTTCAACATGTCCAAAAGTAAAATTGTCACTCTACAAACAAGATTTGACTTACTACCTACTTCTGTTGAAAGCATTATCATTCTTGCATTCCTAACATCACCTTTGAATTTTACTATTTCACTCCTAATAACCAATCTGTTGCCATGTCTTAATTATATCGTACAATATCTCTGGCATCTTTCCCTTCCACAATCACTTTTCTACCATGACTTCTGTACAGTACAGTCTGCTGTTACTTGTTACCCAGACTATTACACTGGTCTCATAACTAGTTGATAAATATTTGCCATATGAAGACATGAATGGATGGATGGTATGTATCCTCAGAGTAAATCTTTTATTACCTTATTCCATCTTCTAAAATAGAGTCAGATTAACTTCTTAAAGCATACTTCTAACCATATTAATATAGTACTCAAAAGTGAAGTTCTTATTTTGCACATTATAAATTACTTGCTTTATAGTAAAGGGATTTCATATTAGGAAATCATATTATTTCTCTAAGCTCACTTCTGCCGAAGTATCATCCTTTCAATGGAGCCAAGATAGGCTATGCACTTCTGCACACATACTATATGTTCTCACTAGGCCACTGTTCAAATTATCTCTACTTATCTAACAATCTGACTTATACAGGACTGTAAAGGATGTCATTTCTTCTGTAAGATCTTTCCTGGCTCCTCACCATGGTGGTTCCCCCCATCTTTCCTCTAAAATACCACAACACTTGAATAGCACTTCTTTGAATCCTTTATGACCCATCATGTCTTACAATAATAAAACAAAATTTACCTTACTCCTGTATGATTTAAGGAAGAAATTTGCTTTATCTACATTCTCATTTACATTTGAATACCTATACACTGGTTTCTCTTCAGAATGTATGAATATTTTACCTTTCACATTTGAATACCAACAGTGAACAACCAAAAATAGTATTTTGTATATGTTCTCAAATACTTCAGGGCAGGGGACAAAATTAACAAATAAAAGAACACATGCATTTAAAACTTAAAGGGGTCTGTATACTGAAAGCATTCAGTTTTTGTGGCTCTTATTTTTTTTCATTTATGCTTTCTTACAACCAATATTTCTGCATCTCATATACTTGTTTTACGAGTGAATTCCATTAAGATAACACAGACTTTTGATTCAGAAAAAAATCTCCTAGTATCATACAATTTCTGCTCAATGAATGAAACAATTATGTAAAATAAGCAAAGTCCCAAAAGTTGGCCATGTTCCACTGACAGTAATTTACTTGCTAGAAAAAGTTACAGTATCTTTTAACAAAGCATATTCTTACCTTTGCACCACCTAAAAATCCCAGGGAGATGGCAACTCTGGCTCGTAGATCTGGCCTGTCTTTGGGCCACACATAAGAAAGCATTGCTTTAATAATTTTCCTAGTATCAACATCTTTTAACTGTGGAAAGAGAGAAAACAAAGCAGTAAGCAGGAAGTAATGCCACTTTTCCTATATATATTATAACAAAATTATTATAATATATTCATTCATTCATAATTTTGGTTATCTGTGTGTGTGTATTAGTGCATGCAAGGAAAAGCATGTATATGGAGGTCAGAAGACAATTTTCAAGAATCAGTTCTTTAGTTCTACCAGGTGGGCCCCTGGAATTGAACTCAGGTCCCTGGGTTTGGCTGTAAGTGTCTTTATCAACCAAGCTCTCACTAGCCACAGTCAAACTTTAATCTTGTAGAATTATATAAATATCTAAAAAATGAATGAAAACATTACAGACATATTTTCCATTCTGAATCTAAGGATGACCCCAACTAGAACTCATAGTAAAAGCAGATATGTAGACTGAACTGGCCATCTCCTAATTCCAGGCAAGACTTCCAAGTGGAGGGAGTGGGAAACCAACTCAGCTACATAACCTTCAACCTATAGTCTGCCATGTCAATGGGATATACTGGGGTAAGAGTGGCCTAGAGATTGAAGGAGTGGCCAACCAATGACTAGTTGAGTCTAAAACCCATGTCAGGAGAGTAAGCATACCCCTGACACTGACTCAAGTGCCAGGATCCACAGGCTGGATGACCCAGAGACCTAAAATAGAACCAAACTGGAGAAAATGTCAATACACTGAAGCCTAATGATATTTTGCTATACACATATACTAGTGCCTAGCCCAATTGTCATCAGAGAGGCTTCATCCAGCAACTGATGGAAACAGATGCAGACCCACATCCAAACATTAGGTGTAGGTCAGGGAATCTTGCTGAAAAGGGGGAGGGGGAGAAAGGATTGTAGAAGCCAGAGGGTTCAAGGACACTACAAGAAAACTCACAAGGTCAACTAACCTGGGCACACAGTGGCTCATAGAGACTGGATCGACAACCAGGGAACCTGTATAGGACCATTCTGGGAACTCTGCATTTATGTTATAGTTGTGTGGCTTGGTCCTCTTGTGGGGCTCCTAACAGTGGGAACAGGGGCTGTCTCTGACTCTTTTACTGGCTTTTGGGACCTAACTCCTCATACGGGGTCAACTTGTATAACCTTAATATATGGGGAGGTGCTTAGTCTCACTGCAACTTGACATGCCTTGCTTTTTTTTGATATCCATGGGAGGCCTGTTCTTTCCTGAACAGAAATGGAGAAAGGAAAGAGTGGATTGGCAAGTATGAACAGAGGGGGTTGGGGCTGGGAGACTGGGAAGAGAGGAAGGAGGGGAAACTGTGGCTGGGACATAAAATAAATAAATGAAGAAATTTATTTAAAAAAATTTGGAGAGAAAAGAAGCAAGTTCAACTGCTTTTTCAATGTCACTCATTTCTTTTTTGTTCCCATTTGAATTATCGATGTTTCTTTTTAAACAGATTTTTATTGAGCTCTACATATTGCTCTGCTCCTATCCCTGCCTCTCTCCTACCCTTAATCCCTCTGTCAATTTACTTAGGAGATCGTGCCTTTTTCTACTACCCATGTAGATTTGAAAGACAACATCTCATTTCTGAACTAGGGATATAGCTCAGTTGGTTGAGTTCTTGCCTAACATGAAGAGATCCCAGATCTGATTTCTATCACCACATGAAACTAGGCACAGTGGACCATGTCTATAATTCCAATTCCAGCACTCAAGATGTGATGGAAGGAAGATCAGAAACTCAAAGTCATCCTTGACTATAAAGAAAGTTCAAGCTTGCACCCCAGCACAAAAACACATATCTTATAATCATTTTTCTTCATCTTGTCACTTTCATCTATTGTCATCTGCATACTGCTAAAAGAGTCATTCAGTAGTGACATGGAAACATAGGGCATACATATTTTTAAACTAATACTCAATAAAATATAGAAAAACCAATTCCAAGAACACATCCAAATAAAATCATTCACCATGATCAAGTCAGCTTCATCCCAGAGATGCAGGGATAGTTCAACATAAAAAAATCTATCAATGCAATCCACCAGATAAATACACTGGGGAAAAAACATATGATCATCTCATTCGATGCTGAAAAAGCATTCAACAAGATCCAACAACCCTTCATGATAAAGGTCTTGGAGAGATCAGGGATACAAGGAACATACCTAAACACAATAAAAGCAATATACAGCAAGCTGACAGCCAACATCAAATTAAATGGAGAGAAACTCATAGCAATTCCACTAAAATCACAAACAAGACAAGACTATCCACTCTCTCCATATCTCTTCAACATAGTTCGTGTTTTTTTTTTTTTTTGATTTTTCGAGACAAGGTTTCTCCATAGCTTTTTGGTTCCTGTCCTGGAACTAGCTCTTGTAGACCAGGCTGGCCTTGAACTCACAGAGATCCGCCTGCCTCTGCCTCCCGAGTGCTGGGATTAAAGGCGTGCGCCACCACCTTTCAACATAGTTCTTGAAGTTCTGGCTAGAGTAAAAAGCCAACAAAAGGAGATCATGAGGAATCAAATTGGAAAGGAAGAAATAAAACTTTTGCTATTTGCAGATGATATGATAAATTCTACTAGGGAACTTCTACAGCTGATAAATACATTCAGTGATATGGCAGGATACAAGATCAACTAAAAAAAATCAGTAGCCCTCCTATATGCAAATGATAAAGAAGCTGAGAAAGAAATCAGAGAAGCATCACCTTTCACAATAGCAAAAATAGCATAAAGTATCTTGGGGTAACACTAACCAAGGAAGTGAAATGGTGTAGGAGGTCCTTCTGTTTATGTGTTGCTTTTATTGGTTGAATAAAGAAACTGCTTTGGCCTAGTTGATAGGACAGAACTTAGGTAGGCGGAGTAGACAGAAATGAATGCTGGGAAGAAGGACAGAGTGGCAGATCTCTGGTCTGAGACAGATGCTGGTTAGAATATTGCAGGTAAGCCACAGCCACATGGCGATACACAGATTAACAGAAATGGGTTAAATTAAGATGTAAGAATTAGCCAATAAGAAGTTAGAGCTAATGGGCCAGGCAGTGTTTAAATGAATACAGTTTCTGTGTGATTATTTTGGGTGTAAAATAGCTGGGCAGTCAGGACGACGAGCAGCCGGCTCTTCCTGCAACAGTGAAAGACCCATTTGACAAGAACTTTAAGTCTTTGAAGAAAGAAATTGAAGAAGATACCAGACAATGGAAAGATCTCCCATGCTCTTGGACAGGTAGAACCAACACAATAAAAATGGCAATCCTACCAAAAGCAATTTATACATTCAGAATCCCCATCAAAATCCCAACATGATTCTTCGCAGACCTTGAAAGAACAATAATCAACTTCATATGGAAAAATGATAAACCCAGGATAGCTGAAACAATCCTGTACAGTAAAGAAACGTCCAGAGGCATCACCATCCCTGACATCAAGCTCTATTACAGAGCTACAGTAATGAAAACAGCTTGGTGTTGGCATAAAAACAGACAGGTTGACAAATGGAATCGAATTGAAAAAACGGATATTAATCCACACACCTATAAACACTTGATTTTTGAAAAAGAAGCTAAAATTATACAATGGAAAAAAGAAAGTATTTTCAACAAATGGTGCTGACATAACTGGATGTCAACATGTAGAAGAATGAAAATAGGCCCATATCTATCATCATGCACAAAACTCAAGTCCAAATGGATTAAAGACCACACTGAACCTGAAAGAGGAGAAAGTGAGAAGTAGCTTTCAATGCATGGGCACAGGAGACACTTCCTAAGTATAACCCTAGTAGCACAGACACTGAAAGCAACAATAAATAAACGAAAATTCCTGAAACTGAGAAGCTTCTGTAAAGCAAAGGACACAGTCAATAAGACAAAAAGGCAGCCTACTAAATGGGAAAAGATCTTCACCAATCACATATCAGAGAATTGTAAGAACCGAATTAACATTTGTGTGTGTGTGTGTGTGTGTGTGTGTGTGTGTATGTGTGTGTGTGTGGTAGGCCCAGGTGTATGTATGGATGTCTGTGCTTGTACACCAATGTATGGAGACCAGAAGCAGCTGTCTAAATCTACCCCTAACTGCCTTATTCCTTTGAGGTAAACCTGAAATTTACATTTTTTTTTCTGCAAGGTTGGCAGTTAATGTTATCCAGCAACCCTCTTGTTTCTTTTTCTATAGCACTGGGAGATGAAAAAGCAGGCCACACTCAGGTCTTCATGGTTGTAGATCAAGTGTTCTTGACCACTAAGCAATCTCTCCAGTCCCCCAAACATACTTTCTGAAACCAAAATAGGAGATCATACATAATAATTTTCTAAAATTACTATATTATTATAGTTGGTGAAACAATCCCCACTCAAAAATAAAATAATAGCTCAATGTCTAGAAAAGAAAAAAGATGTTCTTTACTGGTAGGGGTATACAGCACTAAATATATTATTAGTGGGGAAAATGCTGAAATTATATATCTGGAAAGCAATTTCATATCTAACACAAGCTTTTAAAATAATTCTCTCCTCTGTGCCCCAAAATCCACTTCTGAGAACTTCTGCTAAAAATAATCTGAACACTGTGTTCCAAGTTGAATCTATTTTACCTGAAAACTCTCTTGAATCTGTCAAATTCTTTCCATTTCCAATCACTAATACAATCCTAGTTATCATTCTTAGGAAAACAAAACAAAACAAAAAACCACTGCAGTAGCCTCCTAACTTTTTTTCCTGTATTCATTCTATTCCCTATCTAGGAAATTCACTCAATAATCAAACATCGCTTTAGTTTAAAACCCTTAAGCAATATCCTATCATTCTTCGACTAAAGAACAAAGTCTATAACATAGAGTGAGTATAAGGCTCTGCTTGGCCTGACATATAGCCATGTATTATACTATCATTATATCATTATTTTCAGTGTTCAATAGGTACTGGCTGACTTTTAGTTCCCTAAACATGTCTTTGTATGTATATGTAAGCTATGTTCTCTGTGTCTATGAAAAAAAAAGCACCTTAAAATAATATAATCCTA